TGCTTTCAATGTGATGCTATTTCGATAGACTTTATTCCGTGCACTCAAATCAGAAAAATGTACCTATACATTTTTTTGGCATAAGATCAATTTTAAAAACAGCCACTCTTCAGAGAGATAAATGACTTAAGGTTTTGCATAGAGAAAACTACGTTGGTTGTCATAACGAAATAGGGTATTTCTCAAAGTTTCAACCGGAGATATTGAAGAACAGTATTGCTTCCTGGGCTGTTTCCTCAGTGACGCTCATAGGCTGACGCGAACGAAGTTCTCTGACCCGTCACTAGGGCAATCGCAGGTCTTGTGGCAGGTCCACGAACTTCGTGCGCGTCATCCAATTAGCGTAAGCGTCAGGGAGGTAACAGTTCAGTGCATTATTGTTCTCCATTGGATCCGGTTGAAACTGGGTGAAATGCCCTATAGATGTTCTCAGTCTGCCCCCTCAGTCACAACCATTAACCGTTTTGATCTGTGGGATAAGGTTTAGACGGATTATACAACACAATTTTAGTACAACAACCAATGTTATTGGCCGTGAAGACCAAACATTTTTCTCACACGGAAAAAAAGACCGTTTCCGAAAATATCAAAAGTCAGGCATTTGCGTTTTGCTGTGGTAGCAAATATTTTTTGGGGGTTTCGCTGGTTGAGAAAAAGATTTTGCTAGTTCGGCAAACTGCGTTTGCTAAAACAGCGAAAGCAAAAAAAGTTTGCTACAACAGCAAACCGCAAAGTCCTGACTTTTGCTGTTTTATCAAACGGCCTTTTTTGCGTGCAGTGTGTGGACAGATTTCTTTTACAGACCCAGATGATTTGAAAATACGTCTCCAACGGGAACGTAACAGTCACGTGCGTTAATATTTGTCCGAATGATTGAATGTTTTTTCGGAGCCGACTCTTTTACCAGCAGTCGACTTGTCAAGCAGACAATTGTAGGTGTGCCTGACCAGTCGACTCTTTTTGAGTACTAAAGTACAGCTGTTACCCTCGGGTACCCTCGAGGGGGAGAGGGGGTACGTAGCACTACGGATAGCAGTGGCTGGGCAGGCAAAACGCCTCGCTGATATTGCAGCACCCCCCTCCCCCCTCCTCTCTCACCCACACTCCCACTTTAAGCGTGAAACACACACACGAGCGGTACGCGTTTGCTCTCCGTACTCACCCTCCTCTCCTGCTTGCTCTCCAGTCTGAGCGCGATAAGTGAGCCGCTGGGAGTGACAATGGGGCACCCCTCTCCCCCCTTCCCGAAGCAGCAACCAGCCCCTGCCGCCAACGCCGTGTGCTGCAGCGTTCAAAAACATTCGTCCTTATCACTGAAGCTTCCCATTAGAAGGATGAGAGAGGGCGTGGCAGGGAGGGGGTAGGGGTGTTTCAGGGTGGAGGTGCCCCCCGCTCCCCTCCCATCGCTTGGGCAGGCCCGTCGTCTAATTACTTGGTGGGGCGTCATGTCTTGCGCCCCGTATCAGTGCTGCACACAACGCCCGAGGGTTGGGGGGAGGGAGTGGAATACCCCCCCCCCCCCCTTTGCACATACGGCCACCCGGCTGGCAGCATTAGCAATGTCTTCTCTCTCTGTCTCTCTGTCTCTGTCTCTCTCTCTCTCTCTCGTTCTCTCTCTCTCTCTCACTCTCTCTCTTTGTCTCTCTCCGTCCTTCGCTCACTCACTCCGACTAAGCGGGAGAGCAACAGAAACCACTACGAGGCAAACATATTTAAGTGCAGAAGGGTTGTTTGGGGGCCAGTTGTTCGTGCTTGTGTTGTTGTGTGCCCTCGGGCGCATCGGCCAGCGCTTTACTGCTGACCAGACCAGCGCTCGCTGCATAGCCCCGCCCCACTGCCCTTGCTGCAAAGGGAGTGAACAATCCCCGTGATACATGTCCCGCTCCCTCCCCTCCCCCGCTCGAACAACAAGGTGGGTGTCCTCTGCTATGGGAGGCCGCGTGGACCTGGACCGCGCGGGACACGTTACAGCAGGAGGCGACCGATGAACGAAAGGGTTGGGTAGCGTCCCGCACTCACGCATTGTGCCGGCGGCGAGTCCCAGCTGAGGACCAACGTGCATCACAACCGTCTTCTGCACTTGAAGAAGTCCGTGGTGTGGGCCGAAGGGTACTGTACATACATTACTTCAACCAGGCACAGCGAGGGCCCGGACTCATCACATTTCCAGTCGTGTTTTAGTCGCCAGTCAGTTTGAAAATTCGGGGGGCAAACGCCTGCAGAGGCTGCATTTACTGTTTGAGTAAGTCCAGTCACTTTCCCTCAGGTCGCGATCAGTCATTTTCCAGTCACCCAATCAGATTTGAATACAAGTCAGAATACATCGAAGACACCCATCTCTGAAGCCTGAAGTGATGTGCCCCTCGGTGTGGGCCTGGTGCAGTGCGCAGACATGCCACCTAGCGGCGCTACACTTCTTGGAGTCACAGCGACATCGTGTCAATGGGTTAGGAGATACTTGGAACCAAACCAGTGAGCAATGATATTATGTCAGACCGATTTCAAATCAAAACGTCAGACATCAGAAATTTGTCGGTTTTCGCACCAGATCAATCAAAATGCGGTCCTGAAATTGACTCGTTGCTGATATCGTTGACATCTATCTGACTTTTCATTGCTCACTGGGAAACTCGATTTCTTACGGAAACGTAAGCGAAAGCACCGGGGTGTTTCGTTGCACTCGCCGGGAGTGTTATGCGGGGTTGCGCGTGTTTTCTTCGACCGCAGGGGCTCTGTCGTCTGATTCAGAAGAGCGTTCAAGAGGGACTCTCCTATACCTCCCGTGTTGCTCCGTCCTTGTTGCACTCATGAGGCAGGTGTAGTGTAATTTCGACTAACAGAGGAAGAAGAAGCGGGTAGAACATAAAGGTTCCTGATTGGCCGAGGGCCTACCCCCACTACCGGCGTGACGTAGAAGCGGGAAGCTCTCACCCAATCGGTAACGTTTATGTTCTAACCGCTATTCTTCTTCCTCCGTTAGTCGAAATACACTATAGGAGAGCCCCACTTGAACGCTCTCCTGAATCAGACGGCTGATGCTCCACGGGCATCGGGAGGAGTAGCCATAGCGTGCTAAGAATCAACCGGTAACATACGCTATCCGTCGACCAGCCGGCGTCAGCGCTGCAGAATACCGGGTGTCCCGGCTTTTACAATGCCAGTACGTTGGGTTGCCTATGCACTGGCAACAGGGGCTGCAGGCGTGGGACGGGTGGCGGAGGAGTGGCAGCCCCTGCTGCCAGTGCATAGGCAACCCAACGTACTGGCATGTAAGAGCCGGGACACCCGGTACATCGTGGGGTTGGTCACCCGCCGAGGCACGGGGCGCGCCGGTCGCGCTGCCTGTGGCGGGCGGCCGCCCCTCGGGCCGCCCTGGTGGCGGGAGCGCGAGGCCCCGGCCTGTAGGCCCGGCGCGCCCGCTGCGCCCGCTGCGCCCGCTCCTCTCCGCTCGGCTCTTGCTCCGGCTCGGGCCCCCGCCAGTAGCCAGTCAGTCTCCCGTGGTGCGCGCCGCGCGGCCGTCTCTGTCCGTCCCTCGCCTCGCCCCGCTTCGCGCCCTCCGCCGCGCGCCCCGCCGCCGCCGCCCTCTCGCTGACGGCAAGGCGCTGACCGTCCTGGAGCAGCACCGCTGCAGCATCGCGACGACGCGGCCCGTGCGCCGTCCCCGAGAGCGTGCCGCCGCGCACGTCCGCGCGCGCCGCGGCGCCCACCTGGACAGGTGGCTCCCGCCAGAGCCCGCCGCCCGAGGAGCGCGACGAGGAGGCCAGCACGCAGCCAGGCGTGCCGCGCATGTCGCCCAGAGTGTCCCGCCCGCGATAAATGTTGAAATAGATGGTGTGATTGGTAATCTGTGTTGACGAGCCGCTGTTCAGCCGGGCCGGGCCGTGCTGCTGAGCAAAGATCAGGGGCTGTCGCCTGCCTCGCCGCCTCGCCGCGCCTCGTCGCGGTCCCTTGTCGCGTTGGCCATTGATGCCATTGGCCAGCGGCCCCGTCCCCGTGGGATCCCGCCAGACGCCCCGCCCGAGGCTACAAGAGCTCCTGGCGGCGGCCTGCGGTGGCCTCACCGGAGGCTACCAGCAGACGACGTGTGCTCCCAACTCCCATATGGCTGTCATCGCCTCCCCGGCCGGCCCTCCATGCGACCACGGCGGCCATGCTATCGGCCCTCTCTATCAGGCCTAAATATAACCGGGGGTGATAAGGACTGTCTCTCTCGCACTCCTTGGAGGAAGCGACGACCCCCGACCGACCGTCTGCCGAGTGAACATGGCGGGGTGGAAAGTGTTGTGCTTCGTCCTCGTCGTGTTGTCGGCGGCGACGTGCCCCACCCGTGCCGCCGAGGCCCCCGGCGCCGACCCCGGGGCTGCCCCAGGGTTGGCGCCCCTCGGTGGGGGCGTCCTCAGCTACGTGTCCAACGTGATGCACTACCTCACCGGGGTGGCGTCTGAGCTGGTGGCCGGTGCCAGCGCGGGGCCGTGGTCGAACAAGTCAATCAGCCCCTCGGACACACTGCCGGAAACGCCCCCGGAGGTCCTGCCGGACGAAGAGCTCCTGAGGCGACCCGCCAAGTTCAAGTACACGGTGGAGGAGCTGCTGCACACGCGCTTCGAGCGGAAGATGTCCAACGACATCGACATCGACCCTTGCAAAGGAGGTGAGTCGTCTTTCCCAGCCGCCGCGCTGCAGCTCGTAATTTTCCTAGAAAGCCCTTCTCTTCCTGGCCGTGCACGGCGTTGGGGTTCCCCACGTGCCACCGGGCCACCCCAACCCTACCGGCCGCCGCAGGAGGGCAGGATGCGGCCAACGGACTCTCGGCATCTTGGTCGAGTCCCACTAACTGGTCTCGTCGAGGAGGTGGCAACGATGCCCAAAGGATTTCCCTGGGCGGGCCGGGCTGACCGAAGCAGCTTAGGCCAGGCCGCCGACGACGGCCATGCGGCCGGACTGCAGCAGCAGAAGTGCTGCTCTTATCGCCTTGACTATATAATCACTGTGACACTATAGAACTGGTTCGGGACGGAACGCCCGCCCTCTGCCGCCCTGCACATGGTGCCGGGGACGCCCACGCGCGGTCCCCGCCCCGCCTCGTGCCCCGTGCCTCGCCGCCCCGCGCAATGCACCGTCCTGGGTGCCTCTTGCCCCCCCAAGTGCGGTATTGTGGATGACCTACTTCTAGAACGGTACTGCACTCTCGACTTGATGAGGGCGGTGGGTGGCATGGCGGCCTCGGGGATGGTAAGCAGTAGTGCAAGTATAAGGGGAACGAGGGGGGTGGGGGTGTCACCCGAACATGAAAGTGAATTTCAGAAAGCGATTAGCTGAGCTGGAGCAGCCAGTGTGGCCAACATGGGGCCGTCCTGTCTAAACAGGGGGTGAGGAAAGGGGTGGGCGTGTTGTGTTGTCACGGCAAATACATGGCCACCACCATGGCGGTGGGGCTTGCTGGCTGGGCTGGCCAAGGGATGCGTTCTGATCAGTTTGGTTACGTGGTATGGAGCATCCGTGTGCTGAGCATCCGACCGATTCTGTATAGTGGCCAACACAAATACATGTAGGTTACTACTTGCGCCCCCTCCCCCCTCCCTATTTCCCGCTGAGTAAAAATATACAGTGCATCAATGACTGCAACTGGCAGTCCGAAGACAGCCCCCCTCCGCTCCGCTCTCGCCGGTGGAATGAATGGCCGTGGGGTCAGAGTAATCTCGGTGGAGAACTCTCTCATACCGAGCCCGGCTGACGGAAAGCGAAAGGGCGCCGGGGCCTCCGGCCTGGCCGCCAGTGCCTGCCGCTGAAACATATCGGTCGAGAGTGGAGAGTGTGCAGTGGAGGGCCGTGGTGGCCTGGACCTGGGGCGGAGCGCGGGGCGCGGGCTGCCATCTGCGGGTGATGTGAGTTGATGGGGCATAGACGACGACGGGGTGGGGCGGGCCGGGCTGGGCCGGCCCAGGGCAGAGTCCAGTAGCGAAAGCGATCCAGAAAGGAGCGAGAAGTCATCTGCCCACCTGGTCGGCGGTTATAGGCTCATTTTCACCCATTCGCTACCCGTGCCTTATCTGAAAAAAAAAATGGAAATGGAAACTTTTTGTTTTGTGTGGTATAGCACAGTTAAATCCATACTACATATTTTTGTACGTAAAATTACAAGAACTGAGGAGATACACAATACAGGGGTGTAGCGAAGTACTGCTTATTGCTGCCGAATAAATGTTTGATAAAGCTTTGTATAACTTACTCGCCCAAATAGTCACGTTTTAAAAATAACGTAGAGTTTTACTTATCGTTCTCGGCTTCTTTTTTCTTTCCTCCTGGCGCCCAAGAGCTCCTCGGGCGGGCAACGGCGGCGTGTGCCAAAGTGTTGACGATTTTGACGAATGTGGGGGTCAGGAGAAGGGGGTGGGGGTGGAGGCGGGGCGAGACGAGCGTCGCACGACGGCGGCGTCCCCCCGATAGCCTTATCGCCAACCGAAGATATTGATGGTCCATTCCCCCATCCAGACCTTCACCCAAGAGGGCTGCCCCTCGAGCCGCCGGGGGAGGGAGGCGAGGGCCGGGCAGCGTGCGTGCGGCACGTTGGGGACTTCCCTCCGCCGCCGCCGCACTCGCGCGGGAGCGACGCGCGGCTATCCTGCCACCAGTCGCCCCTCCCTCTCCACCCCTCCCAACCCCTCTAAAATATATTACCGCTCGAACGGGACCACCACAAATTAATTCCCGGTTGTTTGTTTCCGATTACCACCCCCTACTGTGGCCGGCGTGGCTGGCACGAGTACAACTATGCGCCTCGCTGCGCTCCGCCGCGCCGCCCGTCCGCCCGTGGCCGCAGAGACCACCAGCGATTCGCACCCAGCGACCGCTCTGTTAACACAAATGCGTATATTTATGCATGCAACGTTTCCTTTCTAAAATGCACTGATAAACCACGTGAGCAAATGCTAGGTAAATACTTGCAAGATTTCGTATCGATAGCCGTGCACTTGTAAGTGTGCAACACCTATTTAGATTGGACCCTTAATGTGTGGAAAGTGTTCAGAAGAGGTGTTGCACACTTGCAAGTGTAATACTACGCAGTGTTGAACACTTCTGTTGAACACTTGCAAGTGTAATACTACGCAGTGTTGATCACTTCTGTTGAACACTTGCAAGAGTGTAATACTACGCAGTGTTGAACACTTGCAAGTGTAATACTACGCAGTGTTGAACACTTGCAAGTGTAATACTACGCAGTGTTGAACACTTGCAAGTGTAATACTACGTAGTGTTGAACACTGTTGAAGTCTATTCAACTGACAGATGCAAACTTAAAAGCGTTAAGCAGTCACACACTCATGGTGTATGATCCAAAATTGGATACCATGTATACATTTGAGTTGACAGAGCACAGTGTGGGGAACTGGTATCCCCCCACCTTCCACCAGGCCCCATCCCCGTCAGGACCAGCAGCAGCAGCAGCAGCAGCAGCAGCAGCAGCAGCAGCAGCAGCAGCAGCAGCAGCAGCAGCAGCAGCAGCAGCAGCAGCAGCTCCTATGGACCCCCCACTGGCTGCTTGTCCCGATAGCGAGCGTGATAGACGCTCCCTTCCCCTCCAGCCCCACCCCACCCGGCCCTCTCTCGCCCATCCACCACCAGCGCCCACCAACCACCCCGACCTATCCTACCGCCCGCCCCACTCCGCCCTTCGAAATGAGAGATGGCTAGGTACAGATTGTCCTCTCCGTCTGCCCGAGTAGCCAGCCGGTCCAAGCGGGGCGGGGCGGGGCAGGGCGACTTAACAAGCAGGCTGGGGCGAGTCAATCCCATAGCGGGCTCAAGGTAAACGGATCCAGCGCTCCAATAGCCCCTGCGGATGCGTTGCGTCCCGGCCGATAGCCCCCCCCCCCTCCCTCCAATCACAATGGTGCACGACGCCCCAAGTAGGAATACGCCACTCGGGTCGGCTTCCTGTTCGAGCGAGACGTACATCACGCACATGACACGCCGCATCTTTGTAGCTGACGCCGCGAGGTGTCGAGGCGAAAATGCCGCATTCATTCCGATTTCATTCACTGTAAAAAATATTAGTAATTTTACTAGCTACTGGGTGGGGAAATTTCATGTACAAAGGTTCGGGATTTGCAGTACATGGGTTGGGAATTTACCTACTGGAATGGAAAGTAGCCTTTGCATGCCACTTG